GATTATGTAACTATTTTTTTTTAAACGATGTATAATGTGAGGGTGGAGGTTTGAATCCCAACCTAAGTGCTGAGGGATGTACTTTTTAAGAAAACTTAAAATCATCAAGTCATTAGACCCAAGTGCAATTATGTAATTATTTTTAATAACTAAATAAAGTAAATTTAATATAATTTATATAATCTTAACACAATTTTATATGATCATAATCACACTTATATTATAAGAATTTCTTTTATATTTACAATAAGATATTATGGATAAGCTTTTTAATAGGTTTTTTATTTAAAGAATCTATTTATATATAAATTTTATATTTTATATTTATACAAATTTTAGTAATTTATTTTTTATTTTTAATTATCAAAATTTATTTATATTTATTAAAAATAATTATTTTTTAAAAGATTATAATAATTTTTAATTATTAGAAGTAAAAAAAATAAAAAATTAATATTTTATATAAATATAATATATAAATAAATTTTTTTAAAGCTGACATATACAAATCAAATTTGACTTTCTTTGCAATACGTGGCAGACAAGTTTCACGAACGGCGACGTCCATGTGGGCCACGTGTTAGTCTGATTAACACGTGTTCACCAATCAAAGAACCTGTTTTACGTGTTAATGACGGATTATGCTTCATGCACTAAACGACAAGAAGCAGGATGGTGTCATTGTCAAACTGTCATTTCGTGGAGTTCACCAGGGTATTTTGGTCCGATGGAAAGGTACGACTCCGGAGTTCAGGTAACGTTTCAGAACGTGAGCTTTGTCAGGACTCGGGGCAGAGCGGGAGAGCGGGGTACCTGAAACGGTGACGTTTAGATGAGGGTTGGTTTTCAGACACACACCGTTCAACCTCCGAAGATTCTCTCAAGCCGACAAAGATCTCTTCAATTTTAGGGCTGTTGTGTCCTAAACACCTTGGATTTTGATGGCTTAAAATTAAAATCCACCTACCAAATCAAAATGACATTTCTGTCCACACCAGAATAGCCTCGAGTAAGGGCAATTTAGCCTTTTAAGGAGGCCCGTGAAACCCGTACAGGGCAGGCTTACTGCCACTAGACACATTTAAGATGGGTTACAGTCAATATTCAGAATTTGCCTGCCAGTGCCACTTGCACAGTCGCACTACTCAGTAACTCCCATGCCTTTAATGCGGTAAATGCAGATAAGTGAGAAAAGCATGAAATGGATGTCAACAAAAAATAAAAAATTTAATTTTTTTTTTTACATTAAAATGTTAATTATTGGTAGTACAGAATATTTGACTATTTAATTTTAATTTTAAATTAATAATTATCAATTTAGTTAAGCTCTTTTTTTTTTTTTTTTTGAGAAACAATTTAGTTAAGCTCTATACTTAATACTATGCACTTTATATACTACTAATTTATAACTTATATATTATATCTTTAAGTCTTCTAATAAATTATAAATAACTAATTATTAAATTGAAAATAAATTTTATTGTGTCATAAGATATTCAATAATTTCTTAAATCCTTGTTAAAAGTATCATAATTAATAGAGGGTTTTTAAATCGATACAAATTAATAGTATAATTATTATATTTTTTAATATTAATTAATATTACAAAAATAAAAATTAATATTTATTTAAGTAATTATCTAATTAAAATAACTTATATAGTATTAATGATGAAAATAATAATAATTTTTATATTTTTAAATGCTAATTAATGTAAAAATGTTATAATAGTTGAATTCTTAGATTTGTATGTTAAAGGTATGTGTTAGAAAAATTCATTAATAAAAAAAATAATACCTTAAAAGTTTATTAAAAAAATATAATACAATCCAAAATAAGAGGTAGATCTTTTCTAACAGACACCTTATGTTTTATAATTCAAGGCAATTTGTACCGCAAAATAGCTTAATCAAGTTTACATATCTCATGTTAAAAAATGTTGTTTTAACTGCAAGGGCTCATTAAGATGAAAGGCAAAAATTTATGAAGTAATATCATTTTCTTATTTACCAGACGTAAAATCATAAATTTTCACCAAAAAAGAAAGGTAAATCATAAATGTTCTTTTGAATTTTACAAAAACACCACAAAGAAAGGTAAATCATAAATGTTTAGATTCTTTTGAATTTTACAAAAACACCACGACTCGAGATAAAATGGGCCGGTTTTGCTCAATATACCAAACTTACTGGTCACTAGGCATATTTATTACTCATCATCTTAACCCAAATTGGGTCAAGAACTTAACCATGGATTAGAACCAGGGTTAGAAATGCAAGTGGTTAAGAAGGACAACCACAAAACCCAGATCTTTGTTATCAACAGTCATCACTGCTCATCATCATCATCTTCTTCTTCTTCTTCCTCTTCATCATCATCATCTTCCTGTATCTCTTCTATACTTTTTTTTTTTTCCTTCATCCTCCATTTCAATCTTCCATGGATGCAAAACTTAGAAAACCCTTTCTTAAACAATCCTTTGAAGTCACTGGTTAATTACTTTTTGTGTTTTTGACAGTTTTTTGTTTTAAGTTTTTGGGTAACCCTAGATGTTAGAGCCATGGACATAACTCCTACAAGCACCAACCCACTTAGTAATACTACTACACCAAAGTCTCCGGAACCGGAAAGTGAGACACCTACCCGGATTCTGCCGTCGAAATTTACCAACGGTGTCCTCAAGCGCCACCATGCTCATCACCATCACCACGCGCCACCTATAGTCATCACCTACAAGGAATGTCTTAAGAACCATGCTGCCACCTTGGGTGGCCATGCGCTGGACGGATGCGGTGAGTTCATGCCGTCTTCCTCTGCCACACCCACCGACCCGACCTCACTCAAATGCGCTGCCTGTGGGTGCCACCGTAACTTTCACCGCCGTGAGCCGGATGACCCGCCGTCGACCACCATCACGGCTACCATCGAGTACCAGCCTCACCACCGCCATCACCCGCCTCCGCCTGCACCAGCGTCGCAGCGCAGCCCCAACTCCTCTTCTCCCCCGCCGATCTCCTCCTCTTATTACCCTTCAGCGCCTCACATGCTCCTCGCGCTATCAGGAGGCCTCTCCGCACCCCCAGATGGTACTATTACAAATTCCCATTTTCCGGCCAACCTCAACCTATCCGCTGGAGGGGTAACAAACGCCGGACTGAATTCTAAAAAGCGATTCAGGACGAAATTTAGTCCGATTCAGAAAGAGAAGATGTTCCAGTTCGCGGAGAAAGTCGAGTGGAAGATGCCGAAGCGAGATGACGAACTGGTGCAGGAATTCTGCAGCGAGATTGGAGTTGACAGAGGGGTATTGAAAGTCTGGATGCACAACAACAAGAACACCCTCGGAAGAAGGGATTTGAATGGCGGCAGTGCCGGTGGCAATGACAATAGCGGCAGTGCCGGCGGCAATGACAATAACGGCACTCCCAGTAGCAGACACAACAATGACAACAACCCGACTCATGAGAATAGCACCAACGGGCAGAATCTGAACCATCACTTTGAGACTGATAACGTCGCGCATGTAGCCACTAATGGATCATCTTCCTCTTCTTGATCAAGATCCATCCTTTTGATAATAATAAGATGCTAAATAGAGAGTAAGGACTGTTATTAATTAGCCTTTTTTTTTTTTTTTTAGTTTTCTTTTCTCCTTTCCCATCTTCTTAATTTCTCTTTTCTTTTTGTTGCTAATTAGTTGAATTAATGATGTTCATCATCACTCTCTTGAGATAACATGGAGAGATTTGATCCAAAGAGAATTGTTTTTCATCTTCATTTTTTGTTTAATTATTCTTTTTAGGGATTATTTTTTATTTTCCTTTTGGGTCTGTGGAACACATAAACTTCTATTTCCATGCAGTAAAAAAAATTTATGTTTTCTGGATCCAATGTCTCTTGAGGGAGAGCTTTGATCTTCTCCTGTCTGAGATAAAGGAACAAAAAGTGTTGGTAAGGAAGAATAGATTAGTGCGGTGAGGATGGTGTCTAATTATTCTAATATTATCCAATTATATAGTTTTATGCTTTTCTATTTATTATACAAATATAACTTGATTTGAGAGATTTGTAGATTATTATTATTCTAATTGGTGAAGGTATCATTTTTATTATCTTTTCAATCATAAGTCTTGCTTTTCTTCCATATATTTTAGTTGCTTGATTTGGGAAGAACAATTAACTAATTTCAGTTGTTGTGGTGAGGCCTAATGAAATAGTAAAACCCTATTTATGTCCTTAATTTATTATCTTAAAGTGCAAAAATGCATTCGTTCTTATTCTTCTATACATTCCTCAGCTTTAGCTCTTTCTCTGTGTGGTGGAAAGAGAGTTACTAATAAGGGACAAGAAACCTAATTTAGATACTAATAATCTATTCTAGTCCTTTCTAATTTTTATTTAACTTTCCTTTTAAAGAAAGCAGAGTTTATTATTGCTGAATGTACTAGTACTATTATTTTAGTAGAGATGATGATGGCAAAAGTGGAAAGTAGTACTTAAATGGGGTTGTGTCTTTTTTAAGCGTATGAGCATACTTGTGTGTGTGTTTGTTGTTGGTGTTTTGTCACTGATGGAGTCCTTAATCTTGTTTTGTGGTTGAGTATTTGAAACCAAAAGTGTGAAAAAGGTCTGGGTGGGTGCCCTTAACTTCCGCCCTTTAAAAACAGAGATTTTGAGCATCATATTGTTCTTCCAAGAAAAGGAAAAGAGAAAAATTTAAGAATAGAATAGATTTGTTTATCAAAAAGTTAAGTGATGTGAAGTCGAGATTGGAAATTGATATGATAATGGTCCACTGAGTAATCTGTCTCACCATATTTGCTAAAAGTGTTTCACCAAAAAAAAAAAAATTGCTAAAGAGTACCCATATGTTTAATTTCTTATATCTCCCTTATTAAAGGTTGGAGAATTTGATGCAAAATCATATGGCATTATGACATTAATCAGTTTTCCTTTTTTCTTTTTCTTTTCTTTTTTTGGAACTCATATTAAAAGACATAAATCAGATTTGTATTGGTGAAACCCCGTGGATTGATTAAAAACATCTGACCAGAAATGTTATATATAGGTTGGCAAAAAATTAAAAAAGAGAAGAGAGAGAAAAAGGAAAGGTTGTTAAGTTAACTACTGGATCAAAACTTAATTAATTAGTTAGCAACTGCTTTATAATTGTTAGAATGAAATGATTGAAAAACTTCATTGCTAACCCTTTAAATTACTCAAATAGTAAGGAGTGGGATGATAAGTTCGAGTTTCTCCAGCACTATTTAAGTGTAAATAATTTTAATGACTGACTTTTATCACTTTTTATCTTAATACATATGAAAGAAATTATTTGTTGATATACTTATGAGATTAATCAAAACAAATATCTGAATACTTGTCACTTTATTAAATAAAGAAAACTTTAGTGGTAATCTGAATGATGAGAGGAGTTAATTGCAAGGTTAAGTAACATTGTTGCTTAATTGTGATTCCTGCTTATGACAAATAGTGTTAGGTGCATTATAACTGACATTACAGCCATAATTTACTCATTTTTGGTTTAAAGACTTCACATCAATAAATAGTTTTTCTTTTTTCTTTTTTTTCCTCCCTTTTTCTTCCCTAATCTGGATGAGGCTGCCTGCAGTGCACCACTAGTTAGTAATAATGGAAGATTTTGCTGAATGAAGGAGTTAAGTTTAAGTAATTGGAGTTTACTGTTGCACACTTTAATTTATATATATATTTATTTTATAAATTGTATAGGGTATAGCTGTTCGATGGGTAAGTTTCTGTCCCTACATAACTGCAGCCACATGCGCTGTTACCCTTAATAACATGACACACCTTCCACCAAAACTATGTTGGTTAGAATTCTTGAACTTTTGAATTTGTTAGGTGATTTGGGGGATTTCACATCAACCTTGATAAGAGATGGTTTTTCGCCCACTCCCATGTGTGCTTTTGTTTTTCCTTTGAATTTTCTTTGATTTTATACAATTCAAAATTTTTTAAATACATTTGACAATCAATTGTACAACAATTGCTTTTCTCCTTTTTACGAACTCCTCTCTTTTAGTCATAAACTTCAATGTGTCAAACTTGCATCGTCATGTAATTTTATTTTACGCCCATTTGAGCTGTCATTCTATTCAAGTATGGCCTCATATACATGTTGTTTTCTCCCCTCAGCTAAAAAACAATCTTTTGTTGTTTGAGACCGTAGTGTCCATACCTTCCAAATTAAAAATGATCCCCATCTTCTTCTAGACTACTGTAAAAACATGAAGAAAGCTTATGAGTTTTGTAATTAATTCATGAAGTGAGCATCTCCATTTTCAGCCCTCCTTCTGCAAAAAAACATTGATAATGAGTAAAACCCCCTCAACGATGGCAGAAACTAGGAACTCTTGATTGCTTTCAGACTGGATTTTGAAGGGCTGACTCTGTTCTGGGGTGGACAATAATTTCACTCGTGGACTTTGGAATTGAGTGTGAGGTTTGGTGTAATAATGGTGAAGTTAAATCTATGTCCCTATATATAGGGTAGAAATCCAGTGTAATTAAATCAAATCCCAAAACAGGGTAAAACTCTGCTTGCTAGCCATAGGCACTCCTTTGTCGTTGGAGTGTTCTTCAATGACACATTAATTTATTGACCCCAGCTAGCCCGTCTTTCCAAATTAGGTCAAGACAGAATTTAATCCCCTATGGTGTGTAGGTGGACACCAATTTGCAATATTTGTGAAGGAACCACACTGGGACCAATAATTCAATGAAAATTCTTGTGGAAATGTGAGGTGCACAGCTGTAACTTTCCATTTTTTACCCTACAAAAGTTGGATAAGATGTTGAAATAAAATAATAATTTGTGTTCGATCTAATTTTTAAAACTGAACTTCCTTGTTCTTTGTCTAATCAAAACATGTTCCTTTTCTCTACTTAATCATACGTGCTATTATCTAATTTTGCAATGCCTAATTAGATAATTGCCTTTATGGATCAAAATTAACACATGGAAAATGATATAAGTGCAGCACTAAACAGGGCACACAAAGAGAATATGGTAAGTTCGGGTATGAATTGATGCTTTCCTCACAAAGAATTTAAAGGCAAAACATATTGCACTATCATTCTTACTAAACATTTACACATACTGAGAGATACGTGAAGCTTGAGAACTAAGAGGTATTTCAACTTATAAAACCTTAAAATTTCAAATTAGTAGGATTTAAATTTTTAGATTGGTTTGAAAAGGATTTGAAAAAGAGAGAACTATTCCCGAAGGTCATCATCATATATACCAGAAGATTGCAAATATTCTTATTAGAGTCAAAATTCCAATTCCAAAACCTCCTTGTTTTCCATCTTTCATAATCATAGCAATTCAAGGATTAAACCAGACACTTCTAACTTAATAAAAGGTTCATAGTCAAATGGTTCTACCGTCTTTTACCAACTAAAGCACAAAAGAATGGAAATGTAAGATTCTCCCATTCATTGATTAGTGGAGAAGACCTAGATTTATGCTTTAAATCTTTACCATCGGTTCCAGGTCCATACAAGTATATAATTCAAGAAGAAAAAAGAGGCCTGTAAAAGATAACCTTGATAGGAACACTTACCCCATGTAATGCAAAGCATGCCAACCAATCAAAGGACCACAAAATTATTTGCAGCATAAAGATTATTTCACTTTATCTTGTGGTCCAATAGAACCCAACCCATATGACTATTTATCTTCATTCTTGTTACACTTTCAAAGGTTAAGATTAATTTATGTATATACTGCATTTAATTTACATTTCAATTGCATGTGATGTTTTTCTATACCAGATAGTGACTGTCGGTATTATTACAAGTTTTATTTTTGAAAACAAGGAAATCTCATCTAAAGCTTTAGTACTAGATTAAATTCACCTATGTAATCGGCGAATTATTAATTATGTATAATTTTTAATTAATTTCATGGTTGTTCAAAAAAAAAAAATTTAAAATATATATAGGCATAACGTTCCAAAAAAAAAAAAAAACAAAAATTGGTCTAATGTTTGAGTCTACAATTTGTGATTAATTTAAAACACAATGATTTACCATCTATGATTAATTTTGATATAATGTATTTTTTAACTCATCCGAAACAGTTTTTCTTTTCTTTTCATTTTTTAAAGAAATTTATAATCTCCTTTTTTTTTTTTTTTGGTAAATAATTTATAATCTCTTACCATGTTGGTGTCCCATACTTTCTTGTTTGGGCCGAGAAATGCAAAAAGGCCGATCAAAGTTGTGGACTTGGATGCATGTGAATGAACAAAATGCCCAATTGTCTGACCCAAAAAGAAAACTACATGGGCAATGCCATGAGGCCACTTTCTAGTTATCCGTTGATCTGCTAGCTGTAAATGACATGAAATTGATTGGATTTATTGGTGTTTTAAACGAAATGTGTTAACCGGGTAAGTTCGTACCACCAGGGTGAATTACAATTGGGCCTAACTCGTTGATAAGAGAAAAACAATTGGGCTAAGCTCATTACTCACCACGACCTGAACCGGCCCACCCCTGTGCTATATTTTTTAATTATTTTAATAAATAAATAAAGAGATTAGTGCTTATTTATTTTATATCTTAAAGATTAAAGAGAAAATTTATATTATTTTAATAAACATTATAGAAAAAGACAAAAAAATATTTTAATTTATGGTTTAAACATAAAATATTTTAATTTTTTCAATAAAAATTTATTCACACAACATAATTCTAGAATAATTTTTTTTATAATTTTGAAAAGATAAGGTAGATAAATATTATTTGCATAAATAAATATACTTGAGAGGCTAAGTACAAGAAAAAAAATTTTTTTGCAGGAACTTACAAAGTTGTTTGTCCACATTCGGCAGTCGACACTTGGGTTCTCATCACTGGACTTATAAGGACATCTATTAATCCTCCAGAAATCATGTGATTTAATGTACAACCACAACAATACTCTCGAACGCATGGGTTCAACTCTCATGTATGTAAAGATTTTATACGTTTAATAAATTATATAATGAAAGATAATTTAATTTTTTTATTCTAATTTTTTTTACTCATGTCTTAAGATATAAATTTGAGATATCTAATATGAAAACTCAAATTTTTAATAATCGAGACACTAATTGAAATCAATATGCAGAAACCACATGCCCCCATAATGACCATGTTATGCAGGCTTTAGGTTTGCCAAATTGATTTTTTTTTTTTCCCCTTTCATATATACTCCTAATTTATTTTGGAGTAGACATCTACCCGATTCAATACAATGAATACCAGAAGGATTGCTCCTCTCCATACTCAATGCCTAACTTGAACAAATTTGCTTAGACAGTTCACTTGCCAAACCCAAATATCTTTTTCTTCTTGCGCTCCATTTCTTCTTATATGTATGATATTAGGTGTGCAGAAAGCAAAACCATGTGGTTTGATATTTTTGTATTCACGTGAAGCAAACAAAGAGAGCATCTTCCGATTGTAGTTTGATAGTTTTGTTTCTACGTGAATGTAATTATAGAAAAATTGTTTTGCAGTCTATACTGCAAAATAATAATCATTGTAATTAATGGTTGAAAGAGAGAGAGAGAGAGAACAGCACATATATATTGTAAGGTGTTCCAACCAAATCTTCAATATATTTTCTTCATATATATGTACAAAAAAATATATCTTCTTTATCAAGAATTAGAAGGAAATTGAATTTGTATTCTCCACCAAAAGTGATGAATAATTATAATTTAAGCTTTAAGCCTTTCAAGTACATCACTAATGATATTTCCCTTTGTAACAACCAGCACGATTAGATATTTGTGGGCCTGTGAAATTAAATGCAAATAGATCTTATTACTATACAGATTAGACTTGTCATATTTAGGAAAAATTCCAAGGATATTTTC